CCCAGGTTTCTGTTTAAGACTGTGGACCAGCTGGTAAACCCAACCCCTCCTTGTGCCTCAGCTGGAAGTAATGATGACTGTGAATTGTTTTTATCTTATTTTACCAATAAGGTGGTGTCAATCAGAGCCTCTATTACCCCCGTGGCCTCTTACTCAGAGGTTCCTCACCAGCAACAACAGAGTTTTAACCAGTTTTATCCCATCGACTTGTCTGAGCTTTTAAAAACAGTATCACAAATGAGAGTGTCCTCCAGCCCACTTGATATAATACCTACAAAATTTTTACTAAAAGTAATAGATTCTGTTGGGCCCCATTTGATCTCTGTTTTCAACAGCTCCCTATCTACTGGTTGTGTCCCTGATTATTTTAAAACGGCTTGCGTGAACCCACTTTTAAAGAAACCTGGTTCAGATCCCTCCCTCCCACAAAATTTTAGACCAATTTCAAAACTGCCTTTTATTGCAAAGATTCTAGAAAGAATTGTTTCCAAACAGCTGCTCACTGTGCTGGAAAATAACAAAATATTTGAAAAGTTTCAGTCTGGTTTTAGGAAGTACCACAGCACTGAGACTGCCCTGCTTAAAGTCACCAATGACCTTTTAATGTCTGCTGATGAAGGCATGTGCTCAGTCCTTGTACTCCTGGACCTTAGCGCTGCTTTTGACACCATTGATCACAACATCATGTTAGACAGACTGAGGCACTGGGTGGGGATCTCTGGTACTGCTCTAGAATGGTTTTCATCCTACCTGTCAAATAGGAAGTTTTGCGTGTCTGTAAACAACTATGTCTCTTCATTCTGTCCAGTTAAATATGGTGTGCCTCAGGGGTCGGTCTTAGGACCCATTATGTTTTCCTTGTATCTGCTTCCCCTTGGACATATTATCCATAAACATGGCATTTCTTTTCATATTTATGCTGATGACACACAAATATACTTGCCCGTCAGATCCACAGACCCTGGAATGCTGAGTTCACTTAACAACTGCCTTTGTGAAGTTAAAAAATGGATGTCAAATAATTTCCTCCAGCTGAACTCAGACAAAACAGAAATCCTGGTCATCGGGTCCCAGCAGATGGCAAATCAAATACTGCCATCTGCTGGTTCCCTAGTAAATCACATTAAGCCTGTGGCAAAGAACCTTGGTGTTTGGTTTGATAGTAATTTAAATTTCGAGCAGCACACCACAAAGCTTGTTCAATCATGTTTTTATCAACTTAGAAATATAGCTAAAATTCGATCTATGTTAACTTTTAAGGACACCGAGACCATTTTACACGCCTTCATCTCATCACGCCTGGATTATTGCAACAGCCTTTTCACCTGTTTAACCCAAAAATCTATTGATCGACTCCAGACTGTCCAGAACTCAGCTGCCAGGCTTTTAACCAGAACAAAGAAATATGACCACATTACTCCTATTTTAGCTTCATTACACTGGCTCCCAGTATGTTTTAGAATTGACTTTAAAATTCTATTGATCACTTTTAAAGCTCTTCATGGCCTCTCGCCTTGTTATATTTCTGACCTTTTAGTCCCATACGCACCAGCACGTACCTTGAGATCCTCGGGCAGAGGTCTGTTGTCTGTTCCAGAGTCCCGAGGCTCTGGAACAGCCTGCCCGAGGAAATCAGGTCGGCTGAGTCAGTGAACTCTTTTAAGTCCCTTCTTAAAATATACTTTTATAGGAGAGCTTTTCCCGATCTTATTTGACTTTATTTTATCCCTTTTATTTTATTGTATTTTACTAATTTTATATTAAATTTTCATGCTCTTATCTTTTTTTTTGTATTATTCTTTACACTTGTTAAAGCACTTTGTAACTTGTTTTTGAAAAGTGCTCTACAAATAAGGATTATTATTATTATTATAATTTGTAAAAACAAACAAACAAACAAAACAAAAAACTTCAGCTAACAAAAAGCACAAAAAGCTAGAGATTATAAAATGACCCAAAAACGTGAACATTAACAACTTTTTGACAGTTTCTCTTTGGCCAACTTTCAGTTCTCTCCCTTTTAACATGACATAAGAGGAGGGAAGACTAAATCATCCCTGCATATGTGTTGCCTCAGCAGGGATATTACATGAGAAAAATTGATCTACAGGAGAAAAAGATCTGAAAGCAACACAGAATGCCTGAGAACCGCACTGCATTAGATTGTATCCTATTTTTTAAAATGTTTTGTAAAATGACTTGCACTATGAAATGTTACCTAACAAATGAAAATGGTTTGACAAAAGGAAAAGGAAAACACGCAATGCAAGAAACAAATGTGCATTGTCCAAAAAAGTAACTTAAGCTAACTAACTTAAGCTATGATCAATCTGTCATCAATGTAGACCTAAAGACAGAGACAGTTATTTCCAGATGTCATGGATTCATCCTCAGCTCAGAATAAAATCTATAGGCTACACTGTCTTAAATAACACTTTAGACATTAAGACATTTGTCGTCTTGTGATTAGTCCCACTGATGGAACAACCTGTCATAGTTACGTTGGAGATGATTGTGAAATGTGGGCTAGTTTAAAAGTGAGATTTTGAATATTAGCTGCTTGTAGTCTTAATGTGTTTAGACAACATTTCATTAAACATCAAACGATCGAACAAAATTTTTAAATGACGGTCTAGTTTGAACCTAGACACATTTTCCACTCCAAATCATTAGAGTATATGGCTACTGGGTCAGCCTGGGACTTTGCGATCAAAGATCCATGAGTAAACTGTTTGATCCACATTTTCATCTTCAGGTAGGCCTTACCACCGGCATTTTGTCCCCGGCAGGTTACAGCTGAATAAATAGCCTACAGGCCTATTTAAAAAAACAAATGTAGCCCAATATTAAATCAGCCTACAGCACTAATTCAGGAAATTCAAGTCTGTTAAATGCTGAATGAGCAGAATACGCTGAATAAAATGCAATCTTGTTGACCCTTCCTCGTTCCCCCGCTCCTTTTGCTCTGTTCAGATAAATGTCATGATGGACCGCATTGGCACGCATTCATATTTCTAGCGCCACTGGATTAAAATGGAGACTGCTTTTTATTTACCCATTGCCATAGTGAATCGTATTATAGGAGCTCTTGATTGTTTTTTTCATCCCCACGCACATAAGTTGAACTGATCAGCTGTTCTGGAACCGAAAACCTGGAGTTTAAGGCTCAATCAACCCAGAGCTCAGGGTTAAGCTCAGAGTTTAAGACGTTTCAAAAAAATGCCGCTTGTTCCTGCACTAAATATGTGTATACTTCTGCGTAAGGACATTTGCTCAGTTAAAGATGATAGCACCTGTTCAGTTGTGCTGCCCAGACTAAGAGTTCAGTATTGGGGATTTTCCAGGGTTTCCCTATCATGTTTTATAGCACAAGACTAGTAAAATATTTCTACAATTGGGGATGGGGGGCTAGAGGAACTACTGCACAGCAGTTCCACCAATTAATGATATAAGCGGTCCTCTACCAATGCATCAGGATCTGGTTAGCTTACCACCTCAGGTAGCTACACAGCTACCTAAGGAAACCCTATATTTAAAATGTTTTCTTTTTTTTTTTTTAGCTAGATTCACCAGAAGAGGGGGGAGAGACAGAAGGGTAATGACATGCCTCACTATATGTAGCCTATATATTATACACTGCCTACACAAGTAGGCTATTAGGCAAATTGTATTCCTCAGGGTTGAACAAATAGTACTGTTAATCCAAAATATAACAACCTCAAAGGTGAATGTTTAACTACACTTTTTGGCCTTTCAAAAAATATTTAGTAACCAGCCACCCTTCTTTTCAATAATTGCCGGAGCCCTCCAGCCATGGAGTCTGTCAGTTTCTTAATCTGTTCACTCTCAGCTTTCACTGAAGCAGCAACCACAGCCTCCCAAATGCTGTTCAAAGAGATGCATTGTCTTACTTGACTGTAAACCTGAAGTTTGAGAAGGGCCGACAAGTTTACAACAGGATTCAAGTCAGGTGAGGAAAGGGGCCAGGTCATTATTCGGGCATCTTTGAGGCCCTTGCTGGCTAGCCAAGAAGTGGAGTACTTGGATGCATGTGATGGACCATTGTCCGGCATAAAGATCATGGCCTTCTTCAAAACAGAGGGCTTCTTCCGGGACCTCTGCTTGAAGAAAGTATCTTCCAGAAACTGGCAGTAGGTTTGGGAGTGGAGTTTCAGTCCATCTTCAACCTGAAAAGGTCCAAATATCTCAATGATAGCAGCCATTAACAAGAGGCCCTTCCTCCACCCTGCAGGCACCTGAGTCCACCCAGTGAGCCAGCCACAGGCCCTTTTTGCACCCCAGTTGACCATTTGCAACAAAATGTTTGATTGGCCACGCCGAGTGTTACATCTGTCTGAATGGCATTTTACAATTTGACTTTTCAGTGTCAGTTAAATCTTTTACCTTAAGTAATGAAGCTCCCTATTAATCATGGACAACTTGATATAAAAGGAGTCATTTAGTTTCACCGCACCCTCCCTCATTACACAAGTACATATCACTTGAAAATAATCAACTGCAATTAGAAATAATTTCCATTTAGAATACTTAATTGTGCACGCAGTGTATTTAGTATAGAAAGAACAAAGTCAGATTTGACCAGGACTCTACTCACCCAACTCTATCCTCTTATAAAGGAGGTTTGTGGGTAAATTGATTGTATTTATTAAACTGTCCTTACATTTACAATGCTTGTTTCTTTTCCCTTTCAAATAAAATTACTAATCAGGGGATTGTTTCAAACTATCGCCTTACTGCTTATGTTTGACCTGTCTGACTTCGTTTTCGCTGCGTCACAGATTCCACACAGCTATTAAAAACTCTGAGTATGTTATTACTGATATGAATGAAGACTACAAAGAGCCAAGTTGCAATTGTCCTTTTAGGATACCGGCATATGATTTGGTTTGTTTGCAATTCTCAATTTAACTTTCAGTAGGACTTCTACTTTGTTATAAAATATGAATCACCACACAACAATGAAAAAACCAAAAGCAATCCAGAGTCAACATGTTGTGTTTAATTTTTCATCGTCAAACTTGACAATTTCAAATCAATTCATCCTTTACAAGCAGTTGAACTCCGGCTTTAACCGCTGCGAACTGTGGCCACCACTTTGAACTTTACCCTGACTGGCTACAGTGAGAAATAAATGAACCGGGGAGCGTGGGTGTTTGGCCCTTCAAGTCAATTAAATAAATCACGATAAAAAGATTTATGCAAAAGAAATAAGACTTTTATAAACCAGGCAAGACATGATCTTTCTTTGGCAGCAGTGCTTCTCTTTGCTCTTTATCAACCTGTTAATTAGTGAACACAAAGTAAAACCTAGCACTTTGAGCATTTCCAGTCTTCTCACAAGTACAGTTTTCATTAAGTGCCAACAAGGGGGTAGGATTAAATGTGAATATACCAGAATAAGGCCACTGTACACTGAACCGTTTGCCTCGATTCATTTAGAAACAAAAAAAAACTGTTCCGTCACCTCCCAACTTGAGCTGTGATGTGATGGAGAGGAGAGCTCAGATAGAAAAATGGTTTATTTTATTCCATAAATCGAGAGGGAATGACAAAGGAATTCTACAGTAGTACTTGATTGTGTTTCAGAGCACTGATGAGAAAGAGAGAAAGCAGAGGACTGAAGATATTGGTGTGTGTAGGTTTGTTGAAGCAAAATAAGATACTAATGTGTTTTCAGTTCAAATACTTTGATGTAGCTTTAAGTTGTGTCTAAAGAAGAAAACATTTACAACCTTTTGCATCCTCCTGATGTCCACAAACTCCCATATAAAAGCTACTAATGGAAGCTTTGGGTCGATGCAGTTTTCTGGGGAAACTTTTTTGGCTCTAAAGTCCAGCTTCAACCAAACATTAGTGGTTCAACGGCAGCAGTTGGCAGATATTAATTGATCTCACCTTAATAGCAGGACATGGTGTTTGTTGCAAATGTCAGCTGTGCCAAATCACTTGGCTAGACACGGTGCAACTTACAAAATACATTTCTTTAGCATTTGATATGAAAGGTAAAAGCGAAAAAACACAAAATTGTCTGTATCCCTGAAAGGTGGAAATTTGGAAGTCTAAAACAAAAATTGCACCCTGAGTGCAACCTGGCCAAACTCTCCAAGTGCCCACGCACCAAACCTTGCTACACCAAAACACCAACACCCTTCTTGCCACACCTTCTCCTCCTCCTCCTCCTCTTCCCCAGTTGGAGAAGGGGCTCAATAGCGATAGTGGTCCGGTTTGAAGGGCCCTTCGGTGGCCAGACCGAGGTACTTGGCCTGCTTGTCTGTCAGCTTGGTCAGTTTCACCCCCAGTTTATCCAGGTGGGCGGCTGCCACCTGCTCATCCAACTATTGAGACAAAGACATTAGAGAGAGCAAAGTTCCCGTTAGATGTTTTTTTACTAGTTCACTTTTCATGCATATTCTATTTGTTAATTGCATTTTAGTTGTCTGATGCCGTACATATAACACCCTGTCTCAGCAGGTTTTTCTGAAGAGAAATGGTCTCCGCCCCGGGGGGGGGGGGGCAAATCAAGGCAGCATGGCATGCATGCAAAACTCATAAGACCGGTGAATGACAGGCGAGAGAGAGCGAGAGCAGGGTCTTCTAAAAGTTTAGCTGGAAATTTACAGTGCAACTTGAATGAATAGAGACTGCAGCTACTCAAAATTAAAGCGGAGTCCCAACACCCACCCCTTACAAATGTACTCCAATCAAACAAAAGTAACATGAAAAGAACAAACACTAATGAACTCCCTTGATCCGTGCGTTACATGATTTTAGATACCTTAGTACATCGGGGACCAATTAATGCAACACACCTCTAACATAAACGCCGGTCTGCTGATAGGTACCGTCAAATAGAAATTATGTGCCGAATATATTTGTGTGTGGCGGGTAGCCTTCCAACATTTGGCCGCCAAATGGAAAACGCACCTGCCAACTAATGATTGTTTTCATTATGGATAATAGTTTAGTTTTTTTGGTTCATTATTCTAAAACAAGAAAATACAAATGTCAATTTCCCAGAGCCGTAGGTGATGCCTTGAAATTGCTATTTCAGAGTAAGCGTAACAGATTTGTTAAGCCTTCCTGTTTAAGATTGTTGTCTATTTTGTTACACAGGGAGCAGCATTTCAGTGAACGTGAAGGACTTGTGTAAAAATGGAAGAAACTGGATGGCTTTAGATGTTCTGTGGGCATAACCCCGCTTATTAAAGCGCCACATCTTCTCTTGGCATTTTTTTTTGTTACTGTTTTGAGGCTTTTAAGCACCAATTAAACCTTGAATCCGTTGCATTCACCACCAGATCCTTCTTCCTGTTTGGTTTCGTTTCTTCACTCTGATTGAAAATTCTTGCCCACCTTGTGAACCCCGCTCCTCTGATGGACCTTTTACATAAAATAAATCAAATCTGCAGTTCTTTTCCTCTCTGTGCTTTTCAGGCTTAAGTAAAATACACTTTGCCAAGCTCACTCTAAAAAGGAAGTGACAGCTTTGTCTATAATCGGTTACAACCCTGAATATTGTTTAACAAAACAATTCAAAATTTTCAAAAATGTCAACATTACTCTTCCCTTCCTTAAACTGTTGGTCTTTGATGATAATCAGGTCTTGAAATTAAATTTTATACAGGAAAATAGAGGCGGAAATTAATTTTGGCAAGTGAAGATTCTACAACATGGTTGGCACAGAATCAAGTTTTAAGACCCTTCTGTTAAAGTCAACCAACTGGGAAGAGGAGACCACACTGGCTTCTCCAAGCAGGAAAATAAAAACCCGGTATGTTTTAGCACAAGGCATGAATAAATGGCATAGCAAACCTGGCAGCATTTAATCTACACAAGTTAGCCATGCTCATTCTGGAGACTAGAGGTGGATGTGAATGTAACGACTTGTAAAATACTACTGTATTTGTACTGAATCAATGGGAATTTCATCATGCAGTTGTAACCAGGGTCCACAACTTGCTATGTGCAGTTTTTCCCCCTGTCAGGTCTATGCAGAATTGGATTTTTTTTTTTTTGTTTGTTTTTAAGAAATCAAGTCTAATATGATTAACGTCTACTTATAATTTTAGGCCTTTGAGAGGGCTGGATCAAAAGCTATTCATTTCTAAAATCTGTTTTAATTTATTGCTGTCCAAGGGATGTACTGTTTAACATACAAACGCATTAACATAGTGTGGCTTCTGACCTTCTTGGGTAAGAAGTAGACTCCCAGGGGGTATTTGTCAGTGTTCGTCCACAACTCGATCTGGGCCAGGACCTACAGGAAAGTGATGAGACACATACAGTTTAATAAAGCACACTGAATGCAGCCACCGTTATCATAATTTTTATTATGATCATTAGTGCTGGGCAACAAAAAACAATTTATTTTTTTTTAAATCACATTGTTATGCGCAAAATTGAATTCTAAAGTAGTGTATTGCACACTTAATTTAAATGTACTGCTATACACATGAAAGTCCAATAACATGAGGTTTGCAAACATTATAAACAATTATGGTGCCAGCAGCATTGCCTTTACACAGTAGCAATAAATAAATAAAAAAATCCTTGTAAATCTCAACTTAAACATTAATGTAATCAAATATAAAACCAAAGCTATTTGCCACTGCCAGGGCATTACCTTTTATCTAGCTTGTTAAAACAAGCTAATAGTCCAGAGCCACAATCATAACAGGCACCTTCTGAGCAACAGGTTAACATATAAAAATCGGTTTTCTTGTTTTTTTTCCCTGAACAGGTATCAGAAAAAAAAAAAATTTAAAATCAGGGAGCAGCATAAACAATCTCTTCAGGAGCAAGTGTCCCTATTAGAGTGAGGTGAAGTGGTCGAGCACAAGGCGTAGCGACAAGCAGATGCGCTCCCCCGAAATGGTCACGGTTGTGCTCGTCTCGTGCACATGCCCGTCGCCGAAGTTGAATTGTCTTGAACTTTTTGTACATGACACGCAGCACAAATCATTGGAGGATTGGAGACTGATCGTCGCTGTTTGAGAGTTTTACTAAATCAGCATGCAGTGTGTAGCCATCAACTTCGCCATGGCATTGTTCACTTGTCTTGCTTTTGTTTATTAACTTCTCCCACACGCTGCATCCAACGTAGTCTGCCGAAGCCTCCCTCCGCTGAATGTTTAGGTTAGTGATTTGCAGGCTGACAGACATCCCACCCCTCCTGTGACCCATCGTTTGACTGTATGTGTATTCAGAGCCAGTGAGCAACGGACTTTCAAAATAATAAAAACTGTTAACGTGCGATAAAATAATTGTCAGTGTTAATTAATGTGTTAACTTGCACAGCCCTAATAATACTAATAAGACATCAGGGCTGTAAATTGAAATGTTGCTGCTTTAAAAATCATGATGCTCATGACTAAAGAGCACTTTTTATTTCCTCTTCTCTGGCTCACACAAACTCATACCTGATTGGTGAAGGAGTTGCTCATGACAAAGGATGGGTGTCCCATGGCACAGCCCAGATTGACCAGTCTGCCCTCTGCCAGGACGATAATGTGACGACCGTTCTTCAAACGATAGCGATCAACCTGAGGAGAAGGAGGAGGATTACTGCTGTTGTGATGGTTCAGTGAAAGAATAGACTCCGATTGATATGGATGGCAAGCGTAGACTGAGCAAGAACACAAAAGAGAACAAACTCTGAATTTAAGCATCAGAGAGCTTAAAATGTTAAATAAAGCATGAAAAATTCCTGCTGTATTAAAACTTTTCAATAAATCATTTTCAGCTCTTACCTGAGGCTTGATGTTGACCTTCTCTGCAGCATTTTTGTTGAGCCAGCTCATGTCGATCTCACAGTCAAAGTGTCCGATGTTACAGACGATGGCATCGTCCTTCATGTTCTCAAAGTGACTGAAGGTAACACATAATTATTAACATGAGACTTGTTATTGTGCAAAAAATAGATTCAAAAGAACTTCAAGCATACTGAATTTCACTTTATGAAACTTTAATGAAAGTAGCATTTCAGTTCTAGTAGAAACATCAGAGGGTGAAACCTACTGTCCGAGGATGATGTCCTCACAGCCAGTGGTGGTGACGAAGATGTTTCCTTCCTTGCTAGCCTCATCCATGGTGGTAACCTCGTAACCTACAGTGCAACAGAGAAGAGGGTTTTACATTGTGAACTAATTAGGGATGTACCCGAAAACATTTGGGAAAGCACAAGCAATGCGATGGAAATGGTGCAGTAGCTACAACTAGGGATGAAATGATTACTGGTTTAACGATAAACCCACGGTAAAATTCCCAACGGTTATTATTACCGTACATATTTTAATGGCACAGTAACCAAACCTGATTATCATGCCATTATAAACTCATGGCAAATAGTGTCCAGCATCAACCAAAGTTAGCGACAGTCTCCCAGAAGAAGGCGTGCATGCAGAGTATGCAACGTGGGTTTGTTTGGGTCTTCGGCAAAAAGGGCAGAAGACAGTGCTGCAGAGACTTTTCAGTCACTCTGAAGTCTGGTCGTATTTTAGTTTTTATGAGAGCGCTGAGGGAAACTTGAAGAAAATTACCTTAGTGACTGCAGGGTGAGTTAACTTTGGGTTGTGTGACTTGCTAAGAGCGTGTAAACTGAAGCTCTCAGTGTTAGCTGTACTTGTAAAAACGCTAAACGTTCTGCTGATGTGTGCGTCTTGTGTCGGCAGTCTATTTGTCAACTGCACATGATAACACGTTACGCTGTTTAGTCAACCAATCTGCATTTTAAATCCAGCAGGTATCAAATTAGTTGTAAGTGTCAGAACAGGAGAAACGCGACAGACTGCTCTTTATTTATGTCAGTTGTTGGGCTCATTGCAGTTACTGTCACTGTCTTCTAAAGAAGGTCATTGCATTAACTATATAATATAAAATCTTGACAACACACACTTAGATGGTTTTCATGTTTACAAAAAAGGTATTGGCTGTTATTTTAATGTTTATGCAAAATGGTAATTTTATTTGCAGTTTTCAATATAAAAACTTGTTGAAATGGTTTCAGTGTGTCTATCAGTACATTTTAATCTTTTTTGGCACATTTTTACTATACTGTGATAATACCGATACCAGTGTGATAATTTTGGTCACTACAATCGTGATATGAAATTTTTTTTTACCCTTTCATCCCTAGCTACAACACGCACAGTAACGCATAAATTTGTCCCTCGGCATTTAAAAAAAAAAAAAAAAAAGAGAAAGAAAAGTTGTTTGTACCTTAGTCACCATCTGCTGGAGCACACCAAATGACAGAAATCAAAAACACACCCAAGTTGTTGCATGCTGTGTTTGGCTAAATACTAAAATGCTTATGGTGATCCTCCAGCAGTGATTTCTACATTTGCTACATTGCTGTGGAACTTATACCTTCAGTCAGGTGCGACTGTGGAGCCTCTGAGTCCAAGATGTTTAAAAACTTTGAGCGCAGTGGAAGAGAGAGGTGGACTGGTTATAATGATGTAGGGCTGGGTGATATGGCCAAAAGTGTTATCACGATAAAAACATTTCATATCATTCCATATTGATAATTATCACGATAAATGTCAAATTATTATTGCTTTTGAGTTTAAAAGCAAATTTTGCCCCGCAATAAAAACTGAAGGGCCAGATGGTTAATTGTGTGTGTAAATTATGCTTTATGGTCAGAACGTGACACTTGTTCCATGAACACTTTATGCCAAACAGTGGATCACTTCTCATATCGGAGGTAAAACATTCAAAACAATTATAAGATCTTTTTTCCAAGAAAATATAAAATATTAGTATATCTTTTCAGTCCCTTTTCTTGACAATATAAAACATCTTAATAGAAAAATGAAGTGTTAATTTGTTTGTGATTCTAATAATTTAAATAAAACAGATAAGACGATATTGAACATTTGTTAGAGGAAAATTATATTGCGATGATTACCATTATTGTTTTATTGCCCAGCCATATAATGAAGTGAGAATATTTAAGCAAAGAAGCTGAACCAAGAGCAGATTTGAAGACTTTACACTGCACAAGTTATAGAATGACGGTAATTTGCGTTTAAATGTCGCAAATGAGTTTCTCTTTGAAGTGAGGCTTTTGTTGAAATTTCAATCATTAACAAGCTCAACCTAAAATTTCACATTTTTACATAAATGATGTTGGGTATACTCTTGTCAGTTCTGAAGCTCAGGCTCAAGGCACGATTTGAATTGTAAATGCCAGCGTAACTGACAACACAATGTTGTTCTGGCTGTCATTGCCTACCCTCCATAGCGGCCTGCAGGGCGTTGATGGGGTCAATCTCTGTGACGATGACACGGGCTCCGAACCCACGCAGAGCCTGGACGCAGCCTTTACCCACGTCACCATAGCCCGCCACCACAGCAACTTTACCCGCAATCATCACATCAGTGGCTCGCTTGATACCGTCAATCAGGCTCTCCCTGCAGCCGTACAGGTTGTCAAACTTACTCTGCAAGGAGAAGGGAGACAGAATATATTCCATATTAGTCAACAGGATGTCAAGCTTTTTCCAGACAGATGAGTCCCAACTAATGGCCTAGTATCAAATTCAAAGATGTTATCATAAATCTACATAAATCAGAGGAACCCCATGGCCTCTAGTTCAGGGCCATTCAATTTAGCTTTACAATTACTGTAAACATTTCACTCAATACAAAACTGTGCAATACTGAGATTTTAAAAAAGTCCACTAGGAGGGCTTTTTGCAGTTTGAATCCTATATGGTGAAGAAAACCAACAAACACTTAAAATACCCACCATTTTACAGACAAACTAATTTATTCAACAAACATGTTTGCGGTGGTATTTAACACTATGCTTTCATTAATGAATGTTTCCACAGATGAGATTTATTATACATTTCTGCCCACTCATCTAATTGACCCTACGGGATGCAGCTGAAGAGGAGGTTACCTTTGTGACAGAGTCGTTGACATTGATGGCGGGTATTTTCAGCTCGCCCTTTTTCATCATCTTGTACAGGTTGTGGACACCTGTAGTAGTCTCTTCAGAGACTCCACGGATACCTGAAAATACAAGGTCACGTAAGTATGGAATATCTATAACATGTATTTTCATCTGCCCCAAAAATATTCCGCAAGGGGGTACATTACAGGAGTAAAGCAAAGTGGGCTGAGTTAAGTGTGTTCATGTCATGAATGTCAACTATGTGAACTATGAGTGTCATTGCAAGTAGATGGTTACTATAATTACTCTTATGCATGTTTCACTGAGTAATTTAAGAACAGGCTTTATGAATGTAAATACTACATAACGCGTGTTAACTGTCGGTGGAAAGTATCACTCCGAGTCCTCAATTTGTTGTAGAGTCTCAGTGCAGACTACCACCATTCTCTCTCTGCCACCTTATGACACAGCTGCAACACTGATGGTTGGGCTGCAACGCCTCAAGGGGCATTTATTCAAGCATATTATTGCTTTACCAAACAATATAAACAAACAAAGAATATCTGGTGAGAAATACCTTGTAAAATTTGAAAATGATCCTGGTATATTTTGCCTTAATGGCCACAACGTGAAAACATTTTGTAAAGCAAGATAAAACATTTCCACCATAACACAGCAACTTATGCAGATGGGTTGGTGATGTCTGGACACACATATCCAATCTGCTCACTTGCAAATAACAGTGCTGACAGCCTTTCTCAAACATCTGATTTGAGGAAAGAAAATCTATTTCCTGCAGTCTGAACAAAGCCAAATGTCACCACGTCATTGTATGACAATCCGTTAAATATGTTATCAACTTGAGAAATTCCTTCCAGGCATTCCTGAGATACATCAGGACTGAATTACAGTTGCTGTATGAACCAGCTTGCATCAGACAACCATCGCCATCTAGTGTCCAGACCTCTTCTGCAGCTATAACATTAAATGTCCTGACCCAGAAATGTGTCGGGTTAACTACCAAACTGGGTAAAATAGTGAAGACGCTAGAACTAAGCTACTGTGACATCTCACCACAGTTACAAAAATCTGGTTACAATACTACAAGCCAAGATTTAGGAGCCACTAAGGGCTCCATGTCCTTTCCAACATGTCAGTGATAAAACAATGAAATCAGTTAGTTATAAATGAGATCTTAAGCCTTTTTCTAAAACCTACTTCAACTAGGGAACAGGGGGAGACAATACACAGCTACTTCATATTAAAACTTTGTGTGTGCACAGGTGTGTAAAACAAACCAACCCGCCAGCAGCTTGGGATACTTCTGGTGGACCATGTTGGTGAGGTCTCCTCCGTCATCCAGGATCATATTGAGGGGCTGGCCGTCTTTGAAAAACAGAGTCTGTTCGATGCACCACACATACTCCTCATCGGTCTCACCTTTCCACGCATACACTACATAAAAGAAAGCAAGCAAATAAGTCTGAGATTCATTTAAGGATATTCACCCCCTAGGGGCAGTGAATCTAAATTGTCGGTGGAAAGTATCACTCCGAGTCCTCAATTTGTTGTAGAGTCTCAGTGCAGACTACCACCATTCTCTCTCTGCCACCTTGTGACACAGCTGCAACACTGATGGTTGGGCTGCAACGCCTCAAGGGGCATTAAATTATTTGACACACAGAATATGGTGACCAATATCCTCATATTTGACCTTAAATGACATTCCTGTAGTTTTGTTTCCTCGCTGGACACTGAAACCTTTAAATTGTGTTTTTAAAAACAGCCTTATGATTTGAGACTCTTTCTACTAACAGTTGGCACCAACTGCCATACCGGGACACCCACATGGAAATTACCTGGTACAACATCAGACTATATCCACACTACGCTGACTAAGTCTGAGTAGAAACATTGTATCCCACACATTTTAATGTCACTTTTAATCAAGATCTCCACCCACACTGAATAAAACGTTTCAATCTCTCCTTCATTTGTTTGTTTGTTTACAGTAGTGTGTATTAGTATGGTGTGGATACACTATTTAAACACTTAAAACCACAGACACACTTTACACATTTAGTTGAATGTAAAGTATTTTTTTGCTGACACAGCTAGAAAGTCATAACAGCTTGTTGACGATCAGGTCATTTTATAGTTCACATACAGTATACACAGGTAGTGTGTGTTACCTGGAACGCCAGACTTTGCGATGGCAGCAGCAGCGTGATCCTGAGTGGAGAAGATGTTACAGCTCGACCACTGAACCTGAGGAGGAGGAGGACGAGAGAGTGTGAGAAGGGGGCGAAAGAAAAGATACAGAGTTGAGACTCGTGGAGCTTCTGACTTTCCCTTCATTTTTGGACTTTGGAATACAATAGCAGAGACACGCCACTCAATCACATCCTCAATACAACTCTATGGGGAAAGCCTGTAACGGCAAAGATGGCGGTTATCCCGCCCCTCCTACTAGAAAGCTAATCGTCTGCTTTTGAAACATATTTCAACCGACAGTGTGGTTCCACAGACGTAAGGGTCCGTTTTACTTCGACTGCGCATACGTTGTAGTAGTGACACATGCATAATAGAAGTATAACCGTTCGTGAAAAACGCTTTTTAAACCTTATTTTGGGGCACAAAGTTGTCAAACCTTTACAGCGGTTTTACTGGTGATTCTATTCATGTAGTTTTTATCTCCTGGCGACCAGTGAAAGTGCAGTTCTGGCTCTCTCCCCATTCACTCAGACAGGAGCCTGGTCTTGTTGTTCTGACATAGCTGCCCGGAGGCATGACTTGCCTATAAGGACTTTGATAATAGTAACTAGCAGTTAACTAAAGCTATAAATGAAGCTCATTTGAAACATCCAATTACTCGGTGTATTTACATGAACTTCAGTAACCTGGTTATTGATGAGCTCTGCAGTAACCTAATTTTGTAAAACATGTAAACGACATGTTAATAAATGACAGTTTGTACCAGTGACTACCTCGTTGCATGCATTTCAAGGGCTAATTTAAAGATGAAACTGTACACTTTGTGTGTTAAACTGTTGGCGGTGAGAATCACTCCGAGTCCTCAGTGTGTTGTAGAGTCTCAGTGCAGACTACTGCCATTTTCTCTCTGCCACCTTATGACACAGCTGCAACACTGACAGTTGAGCTGCAACGCCTCAAGGGGCATGAAAACATGCAATGAGCAATAATTATACCTGGTGATTACCATCTAAAACTCATCTTAACGCAATATTTTAAACTGTGTGAACACCTTAGATTTTCAGGAGCTAGTGAATGTGCTTTGTATGGCGCTATGCTATGAAATTTGTTTTTTTTCCCAGATTCTGTGTTTTGATAGGGCATCAGGTGACATATTTATGGTTAATCTTTGAGAGAAGACAAAGTTAGGATGAGTGTTTACAGTCTCCTGGTTTCCTTGCCTGGTCTCAGTCTGCATTTACATTAGGACAAATTAATTGTTATCCCTGAGCTGAGAGGAGCAGGTTATTTATTCTGTTGGTTCTCAGAGCGCAGGTTCCCACAAGACAAAACCAGTCTTGGTCAGACACATAAAACCAACATGATAACAGATCAAAGCGGCCTTGAGGCAGACAGAGCGAGAAGCCTCCCCACTCTGTTGCAATAAACTTGTTCCCTCCGTCACTACTGCTGTAGTGTACTTTAGCAAGGCAGAATATACCAGAACTTGTAATGGGCAGCTCCTGCTACAAAAGAAGCTGCACGGTGTCATCAGTACACCAAATAATAAAGGCTCTCTTCTCTGATGAAGATGAATCGACTAATAATCTAAACACATTTATGCCACAACTGATAATTTGTTCAAATGTTTAGCGGTATTGTAATATTTGATAACCTACTGGCCTATACTTCACACAAACTGTACGTGATGCTTCACACGAATGAAGAAACCAAAAAAGCTAAAGAGTAGCTAAGCCAAACACAAACTGTTGGGTTTTCAACCCCTAGAAAAGTTTAACTTTGTCTCCCAAATGTACAACCAAAAGATGCTACTTGAACGGAGTAGAAACAAAGTCCACTCTCACCACTGTACAAGAGAAAATAAGTTTGGGCCGCGTGATTTAAGAGGAATGGATTATGTTGCGTTTTTGTTCTTTGGACCTTTAATGCCCCCCTGTATAACTCATCTTTCCTTGCCATTGAAAACCATTTCTACACCAGTTCAGACTCTGGTAGCTTTAAACGTTGTGTGTAAATTCAGGTCTTTACTTGAGTTTTTAAACACGTCATAGGGTTTAGGTTAAATAGCATTTTATCATCCAGCATGAAATCTGCCCAAATCCTTCCTACGTTTGAAAGTGTCACTGTAATTTACACTTTAAATGCAAAGAATCTCAAATCTATTAATATTGAAGGATTTATTAAATAGTTTTTTTTTAGTTCACTCTAATCATCCAGTCACAGCTGTTACAGTAGAAAGACATCAATGCTCACCGGATGTTCTCTCAATAACTAAATATGTTTAAGCAGCTGGTAAATGTCACCTCAGCTCCAAGGGCGGTGAGGGTCTCGATGAGCACAGCGGTCTGAAGGGTCATGTGGAGGCAGCCAGCGATACGTGCACCCTTCAGAGGCTTGGACTGACCGTACAGCTCCCTCATCTTCATCAGACCGGGCATCTCATTCTCTGCGATGTTGATGGCCTTACGCCCCCATTCGGCCAGGCTGATGTCAGCTAGGATAGAGAGGGGGAGATGACAGCGGGATGTTAGGTGAACAAAAATATAAATATTACAATAGACAAATTCCCACCAAGCTTCTTGATCCTGCAGGTCTGTCACCTAAAGCTTTCGATTCACAGGGGAGTTTCTTTAATCCTTTTTGAATATGACATATCTGTAGAACAGGGCTGCAACGATTAGTCAACAACGTCGAAGTTATCAACATAAAGTTTCATTGTCGATGCGTCGTTACAAAGAGGCCGTTTAAGAGATAGATAGCAATCGTATTATAAAGAACACAGGGCTCGACAATAACGGTGGCCCGATGGCCCGGGGCCAGTAAAAAGTTGAACTAGCAACTCACTGTACAAGTAAATTGTTTTGTTAACTTTTATTTTTTTAATCATTTTAACTCTGATTACATTTTAGTTTAGTTTTTTTTATTTCCAGGATGCATTTAATAACCAATTAAACATAATAACTAACAGTTATTTTATACTGTTAAGTGTAATTATACATTTGAAACATGGCAAAGTAAGCTAAAATCAATAAGCAATTGTTCCTAATTGTAAGCGGCTGAGTTGCATTGTGACTGTTGCAACATAGCAACAGGTTGTTCAAGGTTTATTTCTTACACACGTCAGAACAAGTACGAACAAGAGTTGGTGTTCAAGAGCTGGAACAACAACTTCTAAGAGCCCTCACTTACTTTCACCACTACCACGACGACATCTAGGCACGAACATAGCAAAGGTCACATCTTAACTACAATTACAAAAGAAAGTGATGCTGCAAGCTCTACAATGCAGGAAAACCTCAGGGTTCAGGATGGAAGTTCCAAGTACAACTCAAGCTCCACCACTACCACAGAGGCTACTGCCTGTGCAAACACCTAAGTCGGACTACCTGCACTGAACTGACCAGCCAGAGAGAGGATTAGGGAAGTTCAGTGAGGTCAAAGTAGTGACTAAACTAAAAGTCAGTGAGTGAAGTCTCTTGAGGATGTGACTCCTTCTGTATTTCCTGTATAACATGAGCAGAACACCAATATTGACAGGTATTGGGGTTCAACCCCATCCTAGACCAACTACAAAAAAAACACTAAAGTATTAGCATTTAAAGTGCTGATATCCAACAAAGACCTGTTGTAGTTTATGGCCACAGGTAGAGTGCCCTTCTGAGCGAGGTATACTTTGCAGAAAAAGCGCAAATCGGCCAAGTCCTTTGAAAAGAGGATTAAAATATCTTTTATGCTCTGTTCAAGCCAGTGTCACACTGAGATCTTCAGCAATTTAAGATTTCAAGAAACATATGTTTAATAAGTAATACTTGACATGGAATACAGGGTTGCTACTAGCAATCATTTCAATTAATCAGCAGATTATTTCCTCAACTAATCCTTTAGTCTATATAAGTGTCCCAAAATGCTGGAAAACTCAAGACATTCAAATGTTCAAAGAGCTGCAGCACTAGTGACAGTATAATTAACATAATGCTGCTTGATCATTTGATATTTCTGGTCTGTGGTGCAAACCAAAGATAAGATAAAGAATCAGAATTGTAGTTGAAAATTCACGAGGCAAAACGCCAAGGCAAAGGATTGATCTACAGATCAAATATTTCACTGATACACTGCTATTACATAATATAAGACTGGACCAATCAACATGTCAGGATGTGAGGGGGCAGTCACTTTGTCAGGTTGAACATATTACCATGTAGTCAATGAAGAACGTGTGGACTTTGCTCCACGGCTATCGGTTATCAGGACCTTGTATAACTGCTTCTAACCAGCCGATTCACACGCACAGACCCGCAGGCGAACACTCACTTATAATGACGATGCATTACAATTGCAGTTATTTAAATCTCCTATTTTACATGCATTTTCTGATATATTTTTAAATGAACACAGTTTTTGATTTCTAGCTGCATTGCATCTTCCAGCGTGTACATTTACCCCCTCCTCATAAAAAAGATGCTTCTCCATTTCTGGTGCCAAACAAAGACACCTTAAGCAATAAAATGACTGGTTTAACACCACAACTACATTATTCAATCAATCAATCATTCAGAGCATTCAGCTCTCAAAGATGTTGTACGTGCAGACCACGTGTAGTCTCTGCATTACTACGGTACGCGAGTTACATACAGCGCACCTCAGTCGCCTGCTCCCGTCACTCATGGAGAAAGTGGCGGTGACGTGCAGGGCATCATGGGAATTGTAGTATGCAAACACAGTCCGAGCCGAGGGGTAGTACACCTCCGGCTCCGATTATAAACTACAATATCCAGAGAGATGTCGTTTCTGTTCAGAGAAGCCCATGCTCGCTAGTAAGTTTCGACTGTTTCATGTCGATTCATTCCCAGATTTAAACAAACTCTTCATTCTGCGAGTGTCGAAAAGTGGAAATTTACATGCTATAATGACTAACGACTAACAAACATGGTAAACAACCTGCTAACTGAATGTAACATCATACAATTTACCCCAAACTAGCAAATTAACCTTAGCATTTACGGAAACAGAGCAGAGTTGTCGTTACAATATAAACCCTGGGATTAGTAACAAATCAATCATAAACATCTGACTACATTTGTTTCGTTGCATGATTAGCTTTTAAGCTAAATCCGTCTCCTAGAAGAGCCGTTAACGTTTCTCGACATGAAGATTGTCTCAAAAATTAACAGCATGTTAGCTAGCAAGTGAACGGCCACCCGTTTACGGAACTCAAGTTACAAGCACAGTTAAAACAATAAACTTTGACACTGACCGACTTTGTAGTTAAGTTTCTCGGACATGGTCCTTTTCTGGTGTTTTGTTCCGGGGGAGTTGAGTGCAGCGGCAGCCTAGCCGACGAACAGAGGCAGAGAGGGAGGGACAAATTCATGACGGCTCGTTTTTATCATCGAAGCCACATTCAAACCAGTTCACACGACGGGGCGGGTCCAACTCCGATTTATTCTGTTTTCCTATTGGCTGCAGCAGCTCCCGCCCCTTGGATGAGTGATGTGATTGGATAATGGACGAAATGGCGTGGCCTTATTCCTGAGGCATTCAGATAAAAATGCCTATTAAGCCAATTATATTAATTAATTACATGGAGTAGGGATGGGTGACACCCACATTTTAAGGATACTGATACTGATCATTTCTTAAATGGGTATGTCATCCATCCATCCATCGTCCACCGCTTATCCTGCATACAGGGTCGCAGGGGGGGGGCTGGAGCCAATCCCAGCTGACATCGGGCGCAAGGCACCCTGGACAGGTCACCAGTCCATCTCAGGGCCACACATAGACGAACAACCGCGGGGAGAACATGCAAACTCCACATAGAAAGGCCAGGGCAACCGGGGTTTGAACCCCCCGGTTTGTGAGGCGACAGTGCTAACCACCGCACCACCGTGTCACCTGATCCTATGATTAAATCCTATGATTAAATAATAATAAAATAAATATTGGAACATAAATATGAATACAATAAATTAAAATACCAACAACATAAAGCTTAACCTTTCTGGCAGTCCGGCCCCTTTTTAAGGTTGAAAATATTTTGCGACTGCCCCCCCACAACACCACACACGCATACACACATACACCTCCATCCTACAACATGAGCTAGCTAACTTAACGCTGCCTTTTTAAAATTCTTATTCTTCTTTGCCGTTTTATAGCGGTTGGCATTACCGCCACCTACTGGATTACACTGTGCAAAATATTTACAGTGTCCACCCAAAGTGATTCCATTCACAACTAGTCCGTTTAGTTATTTTTAAGTAATTTATTTTCTATTTTTCTGTCTATAGTAGTATTCTCGCGACCCCCATGGGACCAGGTCGCGACCCACAGGGGGGTCCCAACCCCCAGGTTAAGAACCACTGGGCATCTTCCATGATTTGTGGCATTTTCTTGTCACAAATAGTGCATCTTGCTGTGTTTTAAGAGAAAAGCAGCACCACGGCCCATTACATTTCCTTTCTGCCACAAGTTTAAAGTGTGCGACTGTGTGCGGTTGCATGAGCAGTTCTAATGTCACATAGGTTTCCACAGTCATGTGACACAGGCCAGCCAAATATTCAGGGCTGTTCATTGGTGCAAATATTTTTCAAAGTACTGAACAAGTTTGGGAGGGATGCAGCCACCCACGTTTTGTATTTATAAAATGTTATTATTGATATATTTTTCAAAGGAATCAATAATTATATTTATTATTATAATTTAAAGGTATGTTTATGAGAATCAGAAGTAGCTTTATTGCCAAGTAGTGTTTTACACAAACGAAGAATTTGCTGTGGTGATAAGGTGCTACACGTAGACAAATATACAGTCGACATTAAATAAATGTAGAAATATATAAATATAGAATGGAAGAACGCCCGCCCAATGTCAGCTGGGATAGGCTCCAGCCCCCCCGCGACCCTGTACACAGGATAAGCGGTTGACGATGGAGAATGGAAGAACAACGTTGCAGATATATACATGTGCATTATTCTGGGTCTGTGCCATGCAGAAGTAACGTAATGGAAGAGAATATTGTGTACGTTTTAATATATAAACTGACAACATAAAAATATACAACAACAAAGATCAACAATCAACAACAAATATATGCAACGTGCCAGGTCTGTGACACGAGACGAAACAGTATTTACATGTGCAGAGACATGAGGCTAGTTGCAGACGGGAAGAAACTGTTTTTGTGGCGAGAGGTTCTGGTCCTGATGGACTGCAGCCTGCTGCCAGAGGGGAGAGTCTGAAACAGTTTGTGTCCGGGGTGGGATGGGTCAGCTGCAATCTTTCCTGCATGCCTCAGAGTCCTGGAGGCGTAGAAGTGCACCGTCATTGTCTTTGGCAGGCTGAACTTCTTCAGCTGCCGCAAGAAGTACATCCTCTGCTGGGCCTTTTTGATGATGGAGGTGATGTTCAGCTCCCACTTGAGGTTCTGGGAGGTGATGGTGCCCAGGAAGCGGAAGGAGTCCACAGTGGTGACTGGGGAGTCACACAGGATGATGGGGGAGGGTGGGGCTGGGCTCTTTCTAAAATCCACGACCATCTCCACTGTCTTCAGAGCGTTGAGCTCCAGACTGTTCTGGCTGCACCAGGTCACCAGATGGTCATTATCAGAGAATACCTGGGAAATTATACAACTAATAATGGAGGATTTGCCTTAGTGGCTATTCATAAGATGAACTATATAAGCAGGAATGGCAGCTGGAAAATTGAGCAGGCAATTCAAATAAAATGAAGCCAGTGAGGCTTGAGCCAAGCCTAAGGTAGTTATGTCTGGTTAAGCAGCTATGTCTGCTATACGCTTGGGCAAGGACATGGTGTCCCCTGTCAAAGGGTGTACTTGTTGGTTTGTGAAATTATGGAAAACAGTGAGGAACAATTAAATTGGAAGGATTACACACTTAAAATGATTAATATGCAAAAATCATATCCTGTACCAATACGCACTTTTCATACACAGAATGCAACACTACATGGTAATATAGTAAAGAATGCAACTTAAGAAGACACTGTCTTGTAAATGTGTGCGTCTGTACTAAAAATAACCATTGCCCAACCTTAAGTCTGACCCCAGTCTTGGCCTTTGCTCCAGTATTTCCTCTATAATGGACCTTGTCTCGGTGTCACTGAGGGTAAAAGTCCTCACAAACATTCTTTCAGTACTTGTGATTTTGACATTTCGATTCTTGATTGCAAATCGATTGATGTGGGTTTTAGGAGGCAGCTGATATGATACTGAAGTTGTTGTTTTCAACAATATTCGGTAACTTTATACTAAAACCATGCACAAAAGGTTTTGAATGCAGGACTTGTGCTTTTAATAATCTGTCTACTGAGAATTATCTTCTTAAGCAAAGGATTTAAACACATTTTACTTTTTCTATGCACACAAAAACATGCACAACTATGCATAGTACAAGGAGAATCTCAGATACTTTTAAAGCCAAATGAAGAGTTGAACAGGTGTAATGTATCTGAAAACTAGTGTAACTTGCAACAAATTACTGAATAATATAATATAAAAGCCAGATTACAATTACGTTCTCCTGTTTTACTGTACTACCGGTTGGGGGGGAGGTCACACAATATGCTAGAAAATGTACACTACTATTCACATGCTAAATTTCTGAGATATCTAATTTGTCCAAAAAACTACATGTGGCCAAGAAAGGTAGTGACTATATCATAAGCCTATCCACAGAGTGAAAGACTAATCTTCATGTTGAGGGGGCTAAACTCAGCCCACTGGTAGAAACACTATACTACAGCTAATTTAAGAGCATGGTTCAAGTGGTCTTGATCTGGACCACAACAGACGGCCACCCAATCGGTCTCAAGTCTTGCGGGTTTGAGTCTAAATTCCTGTTAAACACTCTCAGAGTCTGGAAGGAGGTGTAGTAGTACATACTATTCCTCTGTTACCAACTCACTCAAATTTTAAAATATGTAACTCAAAGGGAATAATGTTTTTCCTCCTAAGTAGGATTATTTATACAGTAGGACTATTTTCCTCTTTATTACGTATTAAGTAGCTTATGAATACAGTGAATAATACTGGTGCAAACCTCAGGTGGCCCTGCATTGTTGTGCCATTAAAACTGCATCGAAGCTATGTGAACTTAAGTATAAGTATGATGAATCATTTGCACACCATAATAAAGACTTCCATTCCTAAATTACAGACAAAGCAAATTGTTTCACTGTTGAATTCTACATAAAATATATTTAGGTCTTTAGTTCAGTGAGAAACAATGTTAAACCGTTGCTCACCAGCAGCATGTCAAGAAAACCACAAAGGTAATGAGCTCAGAAAAGCAGCATTTTTCCACATCACAAGGTTTTCAGTTAACTTTGTTTCAACATGCTGAGCCCAGTAAAGGATTTTTGGTGTAAAAAGCAAGGACTCTTCAACTGCATAATCCCAGCTCATATTAAAGCTTTGCTTGGCTGGAATTTTAAACATTTCAGTGTGTTAAGTAACAGCTTTGAGTAACAGAATTTGAACAATGTGAGAATTATCTAAACAACAATTACAAAAAAAGCATTTTCTTCATAGCACATACTAGTTTTGCATTGTAGTCGTGTCTCGGGTAACATTTAGAATTTTACATTTAGTTTCACATAATATGATGACATTTAACATTACTGTGTTAGCAAGCTGACAAAGTAACTGTTTTAAGTTCCTATCCTTCATGCCTGCGTTATTCAGTTATCTCTTGGTATATGCCAGATGCATAAATATATATATATTTTTTTACATATTTATATTTTAAAGTCACTTTTTCTCTTCCTGTAAAACATTTAAGTATTGATAACTCATCCTGCCTACTGTATATAAATATAAAAAAATATATCCGATCAAATGTGATTTGAGGTGACTTCCTAACCTCGGCAATCACACAAAATACTAGATTTCTTTAGTTCATGGGTCGTAGAGGCTAGTAAAGCAGTGTCCGTGGTCAGAGGTGAGGTTTAATCCTACGCCTCTTGATTTAACAAAGGGGGGACAGACGTGTGGATGGAGGCCAACAACTGTCTACAATTGTGGGTGGTGTCCAGCTCCAAACCACTGTGAATCTCCAGAGACTCCATGCTTGCTAGTAGTTTTGAACTGTTAATTAAGTGATCTATTCTCTCATAATGAAAGTCCACTCGCATATTCTATTGTTAGCATTTATAACCACAGAAACTGATCATTTGTCATACAAGTAAAATATTAATCTGAAATTGAACCAGTAAAAATACATTGCCTTCCCTCTGAAATGTAGTGCAGTTTAAGTATAAAGTTGAACAAAATGGAAAAACACAAGTAAAGTGTACGGACCTTCAGTTTAGTACTTTAGATGGATGTGAGGTGATCATGAGAAAAACAAGAAGCCTGAATACCAGGGTAAGATGCTAGATGCAAGGTATGAACAGATCCAACAGCGCCAATGCTTGCACCAAATCCCAGCTTTATTAAGATAAACTGTATCCAGCCCCAGTCAATGAAAATCTCCAATGTCTAACCTCTTTATACAGCTCTGAGCAGAACTGGCAACAGATTACACAGTGTTTATGTATAGCCAGACAGAACATGAGTGACATTTGAGGTAAACAGAAATAAAAGAAAAACAAACTATTGGCATTTGCAAGTTTCTTCTCAATAGTTTCTCTTTAAATATCAGGACTGGGGCTTAGCAGTCACAAATAAGGCTATTTTGCATGACAAAAATGAGCAGAAGTTTCAAATCAGTACTTTTGAAATTTTATTTAAGGTCATGATGACTTGACTTTAGGTCATGTTTAAATTACAGTCTCAGTTATGTGTTTGATCCTGGATAGACCCCAATCCGCCCATGCATAAATGTGTAGCTACGGCTGTTTTATCAACATGTCTCATGTTTCTCTCTCAATCTTTAAATCAATTTTGCACTAAAGGTGAGTCAAAAGCAAATGAAAAAATCCAACTCACCAATTTGACTAAATATTCACAAGAGGTCACTGTGTCAAAAGGCTGAAAAAGCATCTCACTCACTCGCTCACTCACTCACTCACACACCACACACACACACAGTATCTTTTAATTCAACCAATGTAGGATTTTCTCAGAGTACAGTACATTGCTGTTAAACCACAGACAAACAAGGCGCTGGAGGTGAGAGGCAAATGTAATTTTAAATTGAAAAACAGAGGCCTTGCAAGGTGTTATGCTGTGCCCTCTAACAGCCATTTTGGGGGTCAACTACTCCTGATGTATAAAGTGTCATAATATAACAACTTTGGTTGCAGCTTCTGACTTTGAATATTTTTAGCCGTTAGCATAAACACCTTTTGCATTGGTAAATGAGCCTGCTAGCTAACAGCTAACTTTCACTAGCTGAGAAAGGATAGTTAGTGAAAAGGATCTTTTTTCCCCCCATATCATTGTCATGTTGTTAAATATTTAGATCTGAGAAATGTAGCTGCAAAGATATGCAGCTGCAAAGCCTATTTTAGTAGCATTTGAGTCCCAACTGGAAACCTTATTGATGTATTCGTAAAAAAAGTAGGCATTGGTGCTACTGTAATGTTCAATGATAGAAAAAAGCCCTTTCTATTAACAATATCCCTTGTTGCAACATAGTGTTTGTACTCACATGACATTTTAGGAATTTAACTAAGATCCAGAGTGCCTAATGAAGTTGCCTGCAGAGATATGGCTGACAGAGGGAGTACAAACCCTAGATTCTCCAATTCAAGATGTTTCCACTGCTGTCATCGTTTTGTAGTTTGACGGCAATATTTCAATGAGAAAGTGCTACATTTTCATCATTTATCCTTTGTTGTCATCACTGTAAAAGAGCAGAGATGACAACGCAGGAAGCAGAAAAATGGCTGTGTAATGTCGTTTTTCTGTTTTCACCCCCCAACCCCCACATTTGATGATTATTCACGTTCCTCCTGGAAACTCGCCCTGTTCTTCCACACACCCTTCCCTATAAGTATGCACTTGCGCGCTCCTGACCAAAGTGTGCTGTCATGCACTCCATTTCCTTGCAAAGAGAACTTTGATATATATATATATAAAACCACAGGCTGTTAGTGCATGACATTTGCTCTATGCCCTTTAGAAGCAGGAGTGCACAGGTGGGGCAAAGATATTCTTACTGTTACATTAATTGAAGAAGAAAAGCCTGGGTTCATTTAATTTTAAGTCAGTGAATATGTGCACAAGTGTATACTTTCGGGCTGGGGTACGGTTAGATATTGGGATGTATGCTTTGAGACAGAGCAGGATGCCAGGAGCCAGCTCAGCAGCCCAGAGTCCCTGTCTCTCTTCAAGATGTCTGGGACCGGCCTGGTAGCACAGAGACAAACAGGAGAGGGGCACTGGCTAGCTAGCAGGGCAAGCTAGCTTAGTTAGCCGCCCAGGCCTCGAGGTCTGCCATGTCGTCTTCGTCTTCTTCCTCCTTCTTCTTGGCTAAAAGAAAGGAAGAAACAGAAATAAAGAATGACGCTTATTGTGTAGATTAGTAGATAGTGATGTGGATGGTATGCTGCATAGTGTTGTTCGTTAGTGAATTAAAAATAAGTTTTGTGAAAGTGTCTGATACCTGGTCTAGATGGTAGCGATGTAGATGGTACACTGGGTAATGGAACATCCTCAGCTCCTTTGATTTCCAGAAGATTTTGATCGAGCTCTTCCTGTTCCAGCTCCTCCAGCTCAGCCATAAGGTCATCCTGAACACACATACACATACGCAAGTAATCAAGCAATCAGATTTGTGTAGGAACACAACACAGACATAGACTAATTAATTTGTCTCCTCAGCTTTTTACCTTCACGTCTCAAGTCTGCAGCTCAGCACAGATAAATAATACAGCACATGTATTGCAGTGTCTTCTCTAATCATCTTACTCCTAAGTTACCAAACAACTAAGACTAATGATTGGATGAAAATGGGACTTGCAGGAGTCCTAATATTGATACTAATGTTAGTGTAGTTTTATTTTATCGATTGATATTTCTAATTTTCTGTATTACTTTTTCCACCCTTATGTATTATGCATCATTTGCTGTGGTATTTTATACCATATTTATCTGTGTCTATTGTTATTATTTTTTACTGGTGCTTGTTGTGCATACTTGGTGAGTGAAAGGAGATGTACACAAGTTGTAGCAGCTATGAGGTTTGTGTCCGAGCAGTTGGCGATGTTTAGCTCTACAAATTCCCCCTGACTGTTCCAGGGCCATCAACTTATTAGCCCCCATAGCAGGTCAGAACTATGGCCGATGAACAAAATGTAAAGCCTGGTTCCACTGAATGCAACACATGTAAGGTTCCCGAGTTACAAAAATGGTTCTGGTCTATGTTCTCACCTCGTCAAACTCGTCTCCGAATCCGATCGGTCTGGAAATTACATCTGAGATTTCTTGAGCCACTTCCTGTTGTTCTGTGATGTCCGCCATCAGATCATCTACTTTGTCAATGTCCCTGTGATACAATAGGACACACACGATGGGATTTGGAGTTACTGCAGATTTCATAATACTTACAATAACTACCTATAATATCCTCAGCACCCACAAAATCATCTAACCTGTTGTAACTAACTTGTAACTAAGTGTCTCTTACATATTTTCATGTGCAGCCTTCATTGCCTTGGCGGCGAAGCCCATATTCTTGAGCACTTCTGTGTTGGTGTTGGCGTTTTCTAGTGCCTCCCTCTGGAACTCAATGGTAGACAATGTCCCGTCAATCTGAGCCAGCTGCTTCTCATAACGCTTTTTCCTCTTCAAAGCCTGTAGAGCCGCTGGACAGGAAGAGAAAGGGTGAGACAACGTTAGTTCAGGAGACATCTACAACTTGTTTTTTAAGTAACTGTAGTCTCTCAGTCTTGTTTACAATTCCTGCCAATGTTCTCAATCTAAAAAACAAGCCAGTGGGTGTTGATGAGGATTATTATTTGAAGAAGGCTTTTTTCTTTCAGGGATAAATTAGTGTTTAAAATGTAAAGCCTGAAGGGTGAAACAGAGAGAGACAACCAGACAGAGAAGAAGTAGCAATGAATCACAGTACAACCACAAGAAGAAGCCATGACCAGGGGACCACAGGCGCTACGCGACAATGCAGCAGCTCGCTTTGTGCAAGTGTAGAAAGCAGGAGAAGGAGCTAGGTTTGGAGTCGATAGTCAGCTGTTTTTTTGGCCAATTTCTTTTAGTTTAGTTATTTTATTTTGCTAATTTAAAGCTGTCGCTGCACAGCAACAGACTTGTTCAGCAAGCTAACCCAGTAGCACAAAGAGGCTTTGCTGCTGTAAGATGAGCTGCAGTGAACTGTTTGCATGCTTGAATTACAGTATTTGTCCTAATGGAGCAGGACTCTGTTCATCTGTTAAAATCCTGTCTCTCCCTGCAGATGCAGTTTGCTTCAGTCAAGAGGTTTTAAATTTGGCCCCTCAACATTTCTCTTTGGAACGAGACCGGCATCTCATCAAGCTCACAGAGGTCTGGTCTGGTCTAAAATGAGTGGGATTATAATATTTTGAAAACCTGAGGCAACTGTTGGATTTGGATTTGAACCACTGGAAGGGACACCTCTGACTTGCTTTGGTGGATTGCCATTACATTAGTGCTAAAACAATTAGTTGATTCATTGATACTCAATCATCAGCGAAATTAATTGACAACTATTTTGAAAATAGATTTAATACACCGATTGTAAACTGTAGGTCAGACAAAACAAGCAATTAAAGAAGAGCTTTGGAAAAGTTGATTGGCCCTTTTCAGTATATTCTGACTTTTAATTAATTGACAAAATAATTGATGAAAATACTTAGTTGCAGCCCTATGTAACACAGTTTCATATAGCATATATTTCATCAACAATTTTTGTTTTTTTTATGAATAAAATGATTGTTTGGCCCATTAAAAAAAATAGACAAAACAGTTCTAAGAACCTTATTGTCCGACCAACTGTCTAAAATCCAAAGATATTTTTATTTACATTCACATTTTAAGCTGGAACAAGTGAATTGTGCTGCTTAAACAATCTCGAGTCTCAAAATTGTTGCCAAATACATTCAGTCAATTAACCGATTGATTAATTCACTAATTGATTCAGCATCTCTCTGTGATCTGTGCCACAGTATGGTTTGGCACTTGCCTTCCTCTGTGTAAATTTAAATACACATTAAAGAAAATCTACACCTTAACACAGGGAATTCCCCTTTGGTGCTGTCATGGGAAATCACCTCATCAAGGGATCTTGTGACCTAAATCTGCTGAGTCATATGTGAGGAGAGAGGGGGTAATGATGAAGTAAACATAGCTAGTCATACTTTCTACTTGCTGCCGCCCTCTTGAGCAGGAACAGGTAACTGAAATTATTTCTGAATAGTAATGACGTGGTGGAAAATTCAGTTCAAGGCAGGCTGCTGTTATCAGATTCAGACACTTCAAAACAAAGAGCCAGTTAGACGTGCATATTTTACATTTGAAAATGCTTTTTTTTTTATAGAAAGTTGCACAGCTCTAAGAGATAATATTTGCATTCATCCTGCTTTGAGGTTGCCACTGTGTCACACAAACATTCACAAAAAGTTGTTTTAGAAACACACGTAAGAGTATACATCTAGCAAACATCTTCCTGTATTAACCTGGTTATTCTTAATCCCTTAAACTGAAAAAGGCCACCAGGTTTCCGGTTAACATGGATTTTCCTGAAATGTGATCTCTGCCTGCATGTAAACACAAACCTCAAAGATGAATTCATTTTGTGGTATACTATGGACAATGCCATGAAAAGGAATGGGTATCATTTAAATGTTCAATTTTAGTGCCAATGAGATAATTGTGTTTTATACCACATTATTTTTATGGCACTGTAGCTCAACTGGCCCTCCACTTTAGTCAAGACTGAACATTTTAATGTGTTCAATAATTTGGTTTATGTGCAGCTGTACAAGAACTTGAAATAAAAAAATAAAAAGTCACAACATGTCTTGACAGATAACCCAACTTGTAATTAGAATCTGATGGTTTAAACACATCAATCTGATGGCTTTATCACAGACACAAAGACACACACACACACACACACACACACAAATCTACTGTATGCGGTTGGTCTGGTCCATCAAGAGCCAGACGGCAGCTGAAAGTTCCAGTTTCATAAGATTATATTAGCACCCGACCCTATTCCTGGACTGATAACATTGTTACCCAACATCTCAAAAATGATTATTAGATTATCTGGGTGGCACAGCTGTATTCAGACCGCCCACTTGAATTTCATATGGCTAATTTAATTCTGTGATCCTTTGTTTTTCCTTTTGTGCCGCTCTTTTACAGTAGTGACAGTTCCTATGTTTCAAGTCTGAATCACAGGTGAAGTCCATTTTGTCTGTCGTGTGGTGACATTTTCTGACTATACTTCACCTCCTCCCTGCTTGACAGCCGATATCTTAATAATGCTCTACGGGCTGATTGTCTCCAGGCTATGTCACAGTGATGCAGTAATTTGTGTGAAAGGAGACCCGACAAAGAGTGCATAAATTAACCTTTGTCAGAAGTTTTCAACTTTTCAGAAGGTCAACATTTCTGTATTATACATTCTTTATTCTAATATTTTGAGATATCGATTTTTGATTTCTTTGAGCTGTAAGCCGTAATCATCAAGATTTAAACAAAAAAATGCCTGAAATATTTCACTTTAAGTGTAATGAATCTAGTATATATGAAAGTTTCACTTTCTGACTTAAATTACGGGGAAAAAAAACTTTTCATGATATTCAAATTTTGTGAGATGCACCTATTAGGAAAATGCTAATTAAAGCAAAAGACAATTATTAAAATATGTGATGTCAAACATGGAGATTAAAGTGAAGTATAGGCAGAAAACATGGAAACACAAAGTTAAACCTGTGAGATCCACCATGCAGATGCAGTTATCATGGTATTTTTGGTAGGAGGAATTTATCGACTGTTTGAATTGTTGCTCAGCCCCCAGCTAGAGGGAGGCTAAGTGACAGGATGAACTATGTTGAAAATCAGGTTTCAGGTTTGGAAGCTATACCATGTAATGCAGAAAGGGACTTTTAAAACCAGCAGTAAATGAGCTAACAGTGGTAGTGGTCTGAGTGTTAGTATTTTTCCCCATAACGGCTTTGTGTTTACATGTTTGTGTCATATCGTATATTCTCAGCCACAATTATTGTGGCCATAACTCTCAAAGTGAATTGTGCTATCACAATATATATTTTTTTTTAACTCTCCTGAAACACACTATTAAGTAAATAATAGTAAAATTACTTCACACCATGTTTGCCTTGGATTTTATCCAACCTACACTGGTGAACTGTATGATGCAACTTTGTTGGACTCTGCAAAAGCCCTTATTTTCTTTTAAAAGGCAGAACCTGTGTAAATGCACATAGAACGCAACAGTGATGAGCCGTAGCACATTTATACTGTGCTCTTACAAGTCACTTACACCACCCAACCCTCTGCACTAAGCAAATGCAACAAATGTGTTGTTTGTCACATTCTCCAAAAGCTGAAATAAAACCATCACCACAGCTAGAGTTGAAGCACGAAGAACATAACGTGTGATGTTGAGGGAACCAGTTCTCTCTTTGTCAGTCAAGTGCAATACCTGCTGCTCGTGCTTTAGAAGGTTGACTATCTAATGTTGGCATAGAAAGCCAAGTACACGGTAGCTGAAGTAGTCACAGTAAAAGGAATTGTTGGTGGTGTTATTATCTTTAGTACTAGTCACCATATACAAAAGCTGTATACTAGCACACCTGAATGTACTCAACTAATAATCTCTAACACCTAACACTAACATTGTCAATCAATATAAACCTTCTAAGGGTTGTTTTTTTCTGACTAAAAGTTAACATGACAGTGTTGTCTTAAGCTCTAGTCTCCTTTTCAAACAGTGTCACCTCAGTTAAGCGGGTCTTCCACGAATTGGAAGATTGGTTGTTCATGTCCTGTCTGCTCCCCAGCCCGCAATGTGGAAGTGTCCAGAGCCATGATACTGAATCCCAAATTGCTCCTGAAGGCTGTGCCATCTTTGAGTGTTTGGAAAACTAGAAATGCTGCTGTTATATTTGCAGAAAGCTAAAGAAGCCAATCATTTCCTCATATTTTGTTTTTATTTGATCATGTATCCATTTCCTATACCTGATTATCTTGTTCATGGTTAGGAACGCCTGGAGCCTGTACCAGCATGCATTGGCTGAGAAGCAGTGTACATCATGTACTGCTTCCCAGAACATCATCAGGCTAACAAGTGCTTGTATTGAGAATCGTTTCTGACTTGGAACCGGTTCCAAACTAATACAAGTTTTCTGCAAAACATTGACTGCACTGCTGTCAATGTAGACACATGCTTCAACACACATGTACAAGGTTTCAATACAATTGACCTTTTATATTTCTACCTGGTATTAATATGCATTCTCATTATCTTAATCCTACGCACACAAATTATGTTGGAAGAACTAACATGGCACATCTCAGTTTAAGGGAAGCACTAAATGGTTTAGGGCCAAAATACATTTCTGATCTTCTGCTTCGTTACGAACCATCCAGACCTCTCAGGTCATCTGGGGAAGGTCTGCTTTCTGTCCCCAGAGTCAAAACTAAACAAGGAGAAGCAGCGTTTAGTTATTATGCTCCGTATATTTGGAACAAACTCCCAGAAAACTGCAGGTCTGCTGAAACTGTCAGTTATTTTAAAATAAGACTGAAGACTTTTCTTTTTACCATTGCTTTTAATTAAATATTTAAGATTTTTCTTTTTACCACTGCCTTTAAGTAGTATTGATAACTTACACTGCACTGTAACTTTTACAGTCCTGTTTTCTTTTTTTTTTATCTTTTTACCATTGCTGTTAATTAAATATTTACACAGTGAGAAATGAGTAGGTAATTGAGTGAAAAGATAATGAGAGTGAGATTGAACAGAGTGAAGGAAGTGGTCTTAAATCTCACGCCTGAGTGATTTGCAGGAACCTCTGTCCACCTGTAAACGCGCAGGTGGGTCTAGAGTATAACTGGATCAAAGTCGCCTGCTGACAGACATGTCCTGGTTTCTCTGTAGTGTCCAAGGGTTTTTGGAGTTTCAGTGGACCCAAAGATTGCTGTGGACCCGAGTACAGACTAGTTAGAGAGAGTAGATTAAGTGTACTTCTCTGTTTATTCTCTTTTCAAAATAATTGTAACTCAATTATTAGCTCAACCCCTCAGCCTGTTTTTATTTTCCATTTAACTCTTTTAACCGTGATTGTACACTGCACTGGACGGAACCTGTATTTTTTCAATTTCCCTATGTTGCTTTTAAAGCACTTTGAATTACCTTGTTGTTGAAATGTGCTATACATATAAACTTGCCTTGCCTTGAAAATGAGCATAATATTACCACTTTACGAGTGTTTCATAGGCCTTAAACTGAACTTGCTGGATTATATTTCATCTTCTGAATAGTGCTCTGACTAAGCACATTAACTATAGGCCTTAACTTAGCTCTGGGGTCTGGATCTCTGGCTGTGTGTCACCTGCTCCCTTCCTGTTCATGCACAACATCCATTGCTACAACTATTAAGAGTCCTATTATTAATATTCCTATAATTATTAGCACAATTATTGATTTTCTGTACCAATGCTACTTTTACTGTTTGTATTTTCTGTATGGATATTGTGCTGGCTCCCCCTTCTCTCTCTCTCTCTCACCACCCAACAGGTCGAAGCAGATGGTCTCCCACCCTGAGCCATGGTTCTTCTCCGGTTTCTGCCTCTATAAAGAAAGTTTTTCCTTGCCTATGTTGCCAAGTGCTTGCTCATGTTGGGAATTGTTGGTTCTCTGTAAATAATATTACAAAGAATACGGTCTAGACCTGTCAATTTGAATAATTGTTTAGAAAATCAAAGGCAGTTGTAGATTGAAACTCAATTGTTGTACAATGTGCCATTAGTATTAAAACGGTGCTTCCTTTAATTAAAGAGACATTTAAAAATGGAGTCCGGCGGCCGTGTGGACAGACCTGTGTTCAGGTAAGTTAGCCAACCTGTCAACTTCCCTGTTAACTTCCTCTTTTCGTTAGCCTGCGGGCTAACCACCAAACTAACCAGCGGTTTGACCAACTAGCCCGTCAAACCACGAAGTTGCGGAGCTTTTCCTCACCTCGTTTGTTTTTCGTGCCGTTCTTCTTCGCCGTCAGGAGCTCCTGTTCAATTTTCTTCTCCAAAAAATCCTGCTTTTTTGCCAACATTTCCTCGGTTTCTCTGAGTCGCTGGACAGCCTCCTGGGGTGTCGGCGCTTTCCCTCCCTTACCCCCGCCGCCGAATAACTTACCAAACAACGACATTTTTGTTAATAAATGTAAACAAGAACGGGTGGATTAACTGTTCACAAACAGCTGGTACTTTCTGATACCGAACAGTTAATCGTTAAACTGCTCTGTTGTCTTCTCGTCAACTACCGTCACGAGCCAGAGGTCTGCTGCTGCCGCTGTTGTTGTTTTTCGCTCTTCTTCCGCGTTTCAGGCCTCGTGATGTCATTACGTCAGCGCAAATACGTGACTCATGCGTGAACAAAGTGCGTGAGACACGGGGGAATTTCACAAAAGAGCAATCAGTGTGTTTTTTTAGTACTAAAATTGCACCTCTTTTGGCTTTGTTTACACCAGAAAACTCTTCCAAAACTTAAGCAGAATCATCATTGACCATTGAGATGTTGCACTGATGTGGGAGTATGTGATATTTCACTTTTACAATAGTTAAAATAAAGTAAAATAAGTACTTTATAATAAAGGTATTAATTCTAAGGGCAAAATCCCCTATTTATAAATGTAAATTCAGCAGTAAAAAATAATGAGGTTGAGCATTAATTCAATTTATTTCTAAATCCAACAACAAAAAGGCAGTAAAAACTGTCAATATATGGTCCTAATATATGGTACTCTTTTAATGTCTTTATATAATATAGACTACTACTGGGACAATGTGCAATTGAATTACAGTTCCTCATGAAAATGTTCATGATTGCAATGAGGGTTACATCTGATTTGTTTTTAATAAAACGCCAGGCTATTATGTTGAGTAATGTTCATTTTGTTGCTTACATTTTATACAGGGTAACATTCAATGACATTTCAAAAGTAACCTTCCCAACACTGCTTATTAAGTTATGGTTAATATTAGCAATATTTACATAGCCTACATATTTCTAAATATATATATATATATATATAAATATATATAATTTTTTTATTTAATGCTACATAGTTGCTCACTTCAATACTTTATATGGTCATAATCCCTCTGATTTTCCTCCACAACACTGAGTTAGTGACTAGCCAAGAAGAATGGTTGCTTATAGTCAGCTGCAAGCATCTAGAGGCCAGCCCAGCTCCTTCAGAAAACTACGCCTCCCGTGATGCACCACGCCATACTTTTCCAGCTGAAGATGTGAGTGACCTGAACGCCAACCAATCAGGGCCTGAGTTGTCTGAGGAACTGGAGGAGAGGGGTCAACCTGGAGGAAAGAAACAATGGCGATGTAGACAGACAGACAGACAGACAGACGCATAGATAGATAGATAGATAGATAGAAATCATACTTTGATGTATTTTTCCGGAGGGGTCGGAGGTCGTGCTGCTAGGTGATGAGGAAGCTCCACTCTGACCGCCTCCTTCAGCTTCACACTCTCACTCATGTACTGAAATACATATAACAGAGGAAGTTGTGTGCTTGAGTGATGGCCACTAATGTGTGATCACATTTGTGTGAATGCAAAGACTTGAAATAAATGCACTTGCTGTGGTACGTTTTCAACAGTAGAGGGCGTGTATGACATCCCTCTACAGCAATGGTTCTCAGAGTGGGGTCGGGGGATCCCCAGGGGGTCCCCAGCAAAAAGGGGAACAATTTATTTTCACCATAATTCCATCCATAAGTAACAAAATGACAGAATGTCGGTCATGGCGTTCACACACTTTCTGTAATAAAACATCTAAAAGCAAAAATCCCTTCAGATGGGGGACGCTGTGACAATATCTTACCAAATGGTCTAATTTGTGTCAGTTGAGAGATTTTTGATGTGAAAAACTATGTGTGCGTGCATGTATGTGTGCCTGTGTGTGTGTTTGCGTGGATACCTCCTTATAGACCTTGGTCAAGAAGCCCCACTTGTTGGGCCAGACGTCAGCTGAATCCTTCTCAACTTTCACATGTGCTTTCCTACACACACACACACACGCGCGCGCACACACACACACACACACACACACATGCAGTAAGTTTAGGTTTTGTATTATATGTGACATATTGCTTCATAGAGCACTGAAATGGAAATGAAACCAGTGTTCCACTTGTAGCACTGCTTGCTTTTCTACAAACAGATCTCAAAAACCTCCTCATCATCTTACATTTATTTTAACCCATAGAAAGCTGAAGATCATTTTCCAGCAAGACACATGGGAACTATCTGTCGAATGCAAAGAAAGTAATAAATTACGTTTCTTAGTTAAAATTAGGCTATGACATGACCGAAAACCTCAATATCAGCAATAGCAATAGCTGTGAGTAAATGTATAAGGCTGATTGCTCTGTCCCCCACGCCAGTATATTGCTGCAATCATCGTAAATATCTTTAAACTCTCGTTATTACACAACATCAACTTATCTCATTAAAACAAATAATGCTTTCATTATATTGATAAACTGAATCTCATTAAAACAAGGAACTTTTTGCGTTATAACATGATAAATTAGTAAGCTTAATTTATTATAGTAAATAGCATGTTGCAGACCCAGGGAAAAAACAAGGCATTATACATAAAAAGTAAGGGGAAAACACAAGGGAAAAAAGCCATGGGAAGAAAGAGGGGGGAAAAAAATATGAGAATGTTGAAAATACTTACCATAATAACAATAATTGTAATAATTCATTCAAGCACAAATGATGTATTGTATGTTAAATGTTTTCTTAAAAAGATCAGAATTTTAAAATATTAATAATCTCACCAACACTGAGTAAGAATGCTCAGCCCTTTATATAAAGACTGATTGAAACAAAACACTAACACACAACACTGAAAAAAAGTAGCAATACATTACATTTCCACATTTGGCAGACGCTTTTATCCAAAGCGACTTACATTTGAGCAACAACATACAATCATCAACAGAGCATCAAACACAGCACGAGATCTACAACAGACAATACATATTAATAAAAGCAGCAATAAATACTAGTAAGCGCTAATGACAATAAGCAGTTTACCAGATTTCATCTTGATGCACAAAGTTGATGGGTTCAGATGTTCGCTGTGAATCCGCCATCTGTCCTGACCAGTGTGTGTGTGTGTGTGTGTGTGAGGCAGAGGGAGTGTGTGTGTGTGTGTGTGTGTGTGTGTATGAGGGAGAGGTGTGTGTGTGTGTGAGGCAGAGGGAGTGTGTGTGTGTGTGAGGCAGAGGGAGTGTGTGTGTGTGTGAGGCAGAGGGAGTGTGTGTGTGAGGTTTCTTTCTTTCTTTCTGGCTAATGTTTCACCTGTGTGTAAGTCACACTGACAGACCTGTTTACTGTCGTCATGGAGATGGCGTTCCCTGACACATATCTCTTCTCTAGCTTCTGTGTGTGAAACCGTGGTGACGCTGGGATGAAACCACTGGAGGGTCACTAGGAGCTCAGACATGTCTGTGTTTTCAGTCACTGTTGTGGCGTCCAAAGCTTTGGTCAATTTAAATGTGTATTGTTGTGTTTCTTCCATCCCACGTGACATAAGCGGTGAAAGATTTACTTAAAATATAGTGTTTTCCCATTCCTTGTTTGGCTCAAAAATCATAAGGCAACGAACATGTTGGTCAGAAATTTATGCCAGCTCAGATGTCAATCAATCAATGCAAGGGAGGAGCTGGTGGCTAATTGCAGAAGGGGTGAGGACCTCTAGTGGGCCTTATATACATTGGGCACTTTTTTCACACTTCTATTGTTACGAATTTAAACAGCGAGGGAAACAAAAATACAGCAGACAGGCTGCGAGCTACTTTCACAACAACTGCTTCACACCTGGTTCATTTGGTTTGGACCAAGGGGGAAGAATTATACGTTGTTGTATTTTAGTTCTGTTCTGGTTAATGTTCACACTGATCTTTTAAAGGAACCAAGAGGAGTAAGTAAGTAAGTTATACAGAATGACAGGTAACACTTTGATTGGACAGTTTTGGTGATTCTCGTCCTTCATCGTCTGCCATCATCAGGACCCATGTGGGGAAATTAAATTCTGGTGACTTTAATGCTTCTGATGTGCATATTTATGGATAATTTATTTATAAGATAGTTTCCTGAAAATATTTCACGATCAGCAGATTGATTTACTAGTTTAGCTTTTGAAATAATGCATATCTGCTATCATAAAATCCTGTGGTTGGTTCTTTTGCTTTCACATTACAAGCAAACTGCACCAGAGTCAGCCGGGAAGTGTGCCAAGAGCCTCCTTCCAAGCCCTCTATGTTTGTGCCTTTTGGAGTTTTTTTTCTTCAGTTTATTCGGTGAGTGAAATTCTAGTATTTTATTTATGCTAGCAATATTTAGCACATATCAGTGTCTGTGCTCAACATACATGGCTTGTTTGCTTAGCTCACAACTTGCCAATTAGTCAGCTTTGAGGATCACCAAGTTGTGCTAACGATGCTAACTTATTGGAAGCGTATGCTAGCCACAGATATAAAATGATGATATGATAATACTTTTGAACGCACAATGCCTTGCAATCATTTTTTGTTTTTAAGGTTAAGTGACCCGTACCAACTGACCAATGAGACTGTAAGAACCTATTCAATAAAACAAGAATAAAACATTTTCTTAAATAAAAATGCATTTGCTCTTACACGCTGCAAATTCAAACAGGAACCAATCAAAAGCATCATTATAGCATCAAACTTTATTAAACGGCTTAACTGGAGAAGACATGTGACATGAAAAACAGGTAAAGCAACAAAATGAATATTAACATAGCCTAGCTTTTTTCAGAAATGTATCAAATGTAATCTACAATGTAATCATGAACATTTTCTTAGTTAGCCTAATTGTAATTTAATTACACAATTCCCCCCCAAAATCTCACCATGGGCCTGTAAGCTATGCAACTGATTTCAAGGTGCTTCTGATCATTTTCAAATTACTCCCACAGCATATTGTGTTGCATCTTTTTGTGTGAAATATGCTTCATAAATAAAGCTTTATTTTATAAAAAAAGAGGTTATCAGGTAAAAAGAAATACATTTAAAAAATAATTATAAAGTGTTTGAAAATCGTGGATCACAGCTTTTCCGCTTGTACTGGATCAGTCCCAAGGACAGAAACACTGCTCCCAACAGCAGAGCACAAACTCCACCAATCAGGTAGCTCCTCTCAGAGTGATTCAAGGAAGGGTCTGCAACAAAAATGATAAGAGAAACATGTAAGTGCAGAACACACAATGCATGTTATTGACAAAATAATGCTGCACTTAACATACAGAAGGGATATTTTACTGTTGTA